CACGCTGCCCCGCCTACACACATCCTGACAGCCATCCTGACAGTATCACGCTCCGCGGGCCGGATTAAAAGGTCCGCCGGGCCGTAGTTTGCCCATTGCTGACCTAGAGGCTTCCAGTGGACTCTTCGCTCTTGCTTAGTCAACCTGGCTGCATTTATGCAAAGCAGAATTTGGAGGACAGAGCTTCAATTTCCCAGAATTCAGTGCTGGCAGGGCCATGATTGCCAAGATTTTTTTTGATTGACATAAGGAGCCTAGAGAAGTGAGTGGGGGCAAACAGCAGTCCAAGTAGCCCCAACACTAGGTCACTCAGGTATTAAGATCCACCAGGATGAAGATACATAATGTCTTCTGAAACGTTCTCTAAATTTTTAGGTATACCCAAACCACAGGGGAGAGTGCATTATTAAGAAATAACCTGCCCCCCAAACAATGCAAACCTAAAGAGGCATAAAAGAGTGCCAATAATAAACCTTGACCCCCTTGCCTTCTCTCTGTGTTCCAGCAGTCTTCTCAAAGGTCATGAGGTCCACCTACAGTCTTCCAGAAGATTCTTGGCTCTTGCTTAGTCAACCTGGCTGCCTTTAGGCAGAGCAGAATTTGGAGGACAGAGCTTTCGATTTCCCAGAATTCATTGCTGGAAGGCAGTGATTGCCAAGACTTTTTTTTTGATTGACTGACATAAGGAGCCTAGAGAAGTGAGTGGGGGCAAACAGCTGTCCAAGTAGCCCCAGCACTAGGTCACAGGGGTACACACTTAAGGCACTCTGAATGCCAATCAAAGCCTGTCACTGAATAAAATGGTAAGCTTACAGTCCTGTTCACACATTGTGTTTGCTTTGCTTCTTTTCAAATGACACCCCATGTTGCTTTTTGGCACTTCAAAGCATTTCCAAAGCCACCATCTATGACAAAGCTCACCAACAGCACATGCAGCTTTTGAGGGGTTAGCTTTGCTTTGGAGGTATTGCAGGTATGAGATATCCCAGGAAATAACAGAGAAAACTGGGAAACCAACAAGCAAACCAGAAAGACGTCATCAGCAGTCACGTCCATATATTCTGGGAGCGTCTGGTGCAAACATCAAATCTGGTGTGCCACGTGGAACAGCAGGAAGATGAGCGGGGTCCGGACTGGAGCAGAGCAGCGAGCAGATGGCACACATGGTAAGCAACATGGGAATGCTATACCAGAAGGTGAGCAGAAAATGATCAGCAGAGCTGGTGAACCACAGCAGGAGAAACTAGCAATGTTTGTTGGGGGTTACTACTGAGCAGGGGATCAGCAGAGCTGGGGGTTACTACTGAGGATTCAATAGAGATGGGGGTTACTACTGAGCAGGAGATCAGCAGAGATGGGGGTTACTACTGAGTGAGGATTCAGCAGAGCTGGGGGTTACTACTGAGCAGGGGATCAGCAGAGATGGGGGGTACTACTGAGTGGGGGATCAGCAGAGCTGGAGGTTACTACTGAGTGGGTGATCAGCAGAGATGGGGGTACTACTGAGTGGGGGATCAGCAGAAATGGGGTTACTACTGAGCGGGGGATCAGCAGAGCTGGGGGTTACTACTGAACGGGGGATCAGCAGAGCTAGGGGTTACTACTGAATGGGGGATCAGCCTTTTACCACATGATCAGCTGTGTCCAGATCACAGTGAAAATACAGTTGCTGGTTATCGGCAGCACTCTCCTCACACTGGCACAGAATGAGGAAAGTACTGCTGAAAACCGGCAAATGACACAGAGGACATCTGCACCGATCAGGGTACTGATGATGAGTTCCCAGCAGTTCCATCCATCAGTGCTGCCTATCTGTGCCACCTCATCAGTGCCCATCAGTGCTGCCTATGAGTGCCACCTCATCAGATAGGCAGCACTGGTAACTGATGAGGTGGCATGGATAGGCAGCACGCCTATCAGTGCCCATCAGTGCTGCCTATCCGTGCCACCTCATCAGTGACCATCAGTGCTGCCTATCAGTGCAGCCTCATCAATGCACATCAGTGGAGAAAAATTACCTGGTTGCAAAATTTAATATAAAAACAAAGAAAACGTTTGTTTGTTTTTTTATAGTGCAAAAAATAAAAACCCCAGTGGCAATTAAATACCACCAAAAGAAAGCTCTGTGTGTGGGAAAAAATTGATAATTTCATATGGGTACAGTGTTGCATGACCGCACAACTGTCATTCAAAGTGTGACAGCACTGAAAATATGCCTGGGTGGGAAGAGGGTAAAAGTGCCCGGTAGGCAACTGGTTAAAAGAAACAGAAAATCAACACACACAAGGCATCTGCCAAGCTTCATTAAAGCTTCAAAAAAGCATCCCAAAAAACATGTTGGATCAGCAGGCACTTTAATATGTGTTGAAGTGAGCCCTTAGTATTCCACCCAACATATTTCGAAGGCCCCCCCACTGAACGTCAACACTCCAGTAAGAGAATGACCCACAGTGAGTAGAAAATAACAATTTATTATAAACTCCAACAAAGAACACTGATAGACTCGTAACACGTGTTGTGATTAGAAAAGTTTTTGCTTATTGGCCTTAGCTAGTTACAGATGTCAGTGACAACCCTACAATTTATTAGCAGGAGGTTGTCACGCCTTCCAGCACTGTAGAGGGAACTCCTTGGTTCTGTAAATATTTCCGTGCTGCTTTTTCAAAGATGTCTATGGAGTCAATGAATGCTGCCCCGGAGCTTGATGGGAACAAAGAGCATGCACTTTGGGCAATACGTCTTCTGCATCTCTGTCCAACACACAGTATGTATATTACACGAAGGCCACGGAATGGCATGTGTGTCCTAGTGGAGAGATTTTCCTTCATTTTCCATTCTGTAGCCACAAAGTTAGAGAAATCTTCTTGGACAGCTGTCCGCATTGCATGATTGCCCCATGGTGACTGCTCAAATTGTTGAATTGTCCCGCTCTTTCAGTACTGGTGACAATGGTTACCAGGATAAATTGGGTCTCCTTATTGGGAATTGGGGGGGGGGGGGGAAAAAAAAACCCTTACATGGTTTGTAACCTCACTGCTCTGTCCAAAAATAAAATGTTTGGGCTGTAGATATAATTACCCAAGTACAACGATCCATTCAGTAGATACTTCAACCCCTTCATGATCAATTCCATCGGCTGGATCTTCGCAAACTGGTTCTATGGACGTCCAAAATTTAATTCCACTGACTGGCTTTATGCAAACTGGTTCTTTGGACATCAGAAATTTAATTCCACTGGTTGGATCTACGCTAATTGGTTCTAGATGTCGTAAATTGAATTCCACTAGTTGGATCTATGCAAACTGGTCCTAAGGACGTAGGAAATTTAACTCCGTTGGTTGGATCTAGGCATACTGGTTCTACAGATGTCGGGTATGTAATTCCGCTGGTTGGATCTCAGCAAACTGGTCCTAAGGACGTTGGAAATTTAAACTCCACTTGTTGGATCTAGGCATACTGGTTCTACAGATGTCGGATATGTAATTCCGCTGGTTGGATCTATGCAAACTGGTTCTATGGACCTCAGAAATTTAAATTCCACTGGTTGGACCTGTGCAAACTGGTTCTATGGACGTCAGATATTTAATTCCACTGGTTGGACCTGAGCAAACTGGTTTTATGAAGGTCGAGAATTCATTTCTACTGGTTGGATCTATGCAAACTGGTTTTATGAGGTCGGGAATTAATTTTTTCTGGTCGGATCTATTTAAACTGGTTCTATGGAAGTCAGCAATAATTTATGGCGTTTGGATCTATGCAAACTGGTTCTGTGGACATCAGGAATAATACTGGTTAGATCTATTTACGTTCTATGGACATCAGGAATAATTTCTGCTGATTGGATCTATGAAAACTGGTTTTATGGAGGTCATGCATGTCTTCTGGTTGGATCTATGCAAAGTGGTTTCTATGGGCGTCAGGAATAATTTCTGCTGGTTGGATTTAAGCAAACTGGTTCTATAGACATCAGGAATAATTTCTGGTGGTTGGATCTATGCAGGTTCTATGGACATCAGGAATAATTTTTGGTGGTTATATCTATGTAGGTTCTATAGACATCAGGAATCATTTCTGGTGGTTGAATCTATTGAAACTGGTTCTATAGACATCAGGAATCATTTCTGGTGGTTGGATCTATGCAGGTTCTATGGACATCAGGAATCATTTCTGGTGGTTGGATCTATGTAGATTTTATGGACGTCGGGAATCATTTCTGCTTTTTGGATCTATGCAAACTTGTTCTTTGGACCTCAGGAATAATTTCTGGTGGTTGGATCTATGCAGGTTCTATGAAAATCAGAAATAATTTCTGGTGGTTGAATCAGGTGATTTGAGCAATGCAAACTGGTTCTATGGACATCAGGATTAGTTTCTGGTAGCTGAATTTCTGCAGGTTATATGGATATCAAGAATAATTTCTGGTGGTTGGATCTATGCAGGTTCTTTGGAGGTCAGGAATAATTTCTGGTGGTTGGATCTATTCAAACTCGTTCTATGGATATTAGAAATAATCTCCGCTGATTAGATCTTTGCAAACTGCTTTAATGGGCATAAGGAATTAGTTTCCACTGATTGGATCTATGCAACCTGGTTCCATGGACATCGGAAAAAAAAATTTTGGTTGGTTGGATATGAGAAAAATGGTTCTATGGACACCAGAAATTAGTTTGCCTCTCACTTGTATAGGGAAAACATACAAATTCAAAAATTGGAAGCTAATTTTCAACGAATGACGAGTGTTTTGGAAGTCAGCACAGCCAGGCTAGGAAGACTCAAGACTTGGATAAAAACTATTGGAACAGTCCAATCTCTAGCAGACTTCCAATTTATTAACCTATCTATAGTCATTTGTTTCTGACTTATTTGAGATCCATATTTTGGGCGGCAGCACAAATGGGGTCATTTGGCTTGCTTTTCCCGGATATGAATCTTCTCATGTTTGACCAGATGCGACCTAGTGAAGAACCATTTCCCGCAATCTACACACGGATACCGCTTATCTCCAGTGTGATACCGCTGGTGCTTTGTGAGTTCCGGGACACTGCGGAAAAACTTGCCGCAGTCAGAGCAGCCAAATGGTTTCTCTCCTGTGTGAATCCGAAGGTGCTTGACAAAATCAGGTTTGCGGATGAAAGGCTTGCTACAATAGGAACAAGTGAAGGGCTTTTTGTCGGCATGGATCTTCCGGTGGCGGTTACACTCTGAAATGCTGACAAAACTCTTCCCGCACTCTGGGCAGGAATAGGGCTTCACCCCGGTGTGTGTTCTCTCATGCACAACGCGTTCAGAGAGACTGGCAAAGCCTTTACCACACTCAGGGCAAACGTACGGCCTTTCCCCACTGTGGATCCTCCTATGCGTCACCAAGCTGGAGCTGTGGCTGAAGCTCTTCCCGCACTCGGTACAAGTAAACGGTCTCTCTCCAGAATGGATCCTCCGATGCGTCACCAGACTTGCTTTTAGACCGAAGCATCTGCCGCATTCAGGGCATGCATGCGGTTTCGCCCCAACGTGGACTTTCTTGTGCTGCTTGAGTGAGGACTCTGAGCTGAAGCATTTCTTGCACTCAGGGCAGGTGTGAGACTTATACCCTGTGTGGACAACCTCGTGGGCCTTAAGCGTGGAATTCCTGGTGAAGCATTTCCCGCATTCAGAACATGTATACAGCCCATTCTGCTCGTGGACTTTCCGGTGCATATTGAGCATCGATCGGACGGTAAAGCGCTTCCCGCAATCAGGACAGGAGAAAGGTTTGTCACCGGTGTGCGTCCTGAAGTGCGCATCTCGGACACTTTTAAAAGTGAAGGCCTTCTCACATTCCAAGCACGTATAGGGCTTCTCTCCCGTGTGAAGGCGCTGGTGAACTTTCACTGTCGCTCGGGCAGTAAAACACTTCCCACACTCTGAGCAGGCATAGGGCTTCTCCCCTGTGTGGACTCGCTGATGGATTTGCTGATGGCTGACAAGCATCAAGTGCTCTCTGAAACACTTTCCACACTCCGAGCAACAGAACGGTTTGTCTTTCAGTTGTCCTTGTGTCTGCTGTTCTTCACTGCGAACATCTTCCTCATCTGACTCCTCTTTTACAATTATAGAGAAACACTTGGTGTATTTCTCAGATATAGAACAGTCTTTCATATCTTCATCTGAGAGAGGTTCCTCTTTGATACGACAGACAGGCGTTGAAGGGTCAGACTTTGGATGATATTCTTCATCACTTGAAAGTGCATCCTCTTTGACATGAGAGCGGAGAGTGGGAGGAACGGAGTCCGGGTGATGCTCTTCATCACTTGAGAGGGAATTCTTTTTCATACGAGAGCGGAGAGCAGGAGGAACTGAGTTTGGATGTTGTTCTTCATCACTTGAGAGTGCATCTTCTTTGATAGGAGAGCGCACAATGAGAGCAGCAGATTCCAGGTGTTGCTGTTCATCACTTGGGAGTGGATTCTTTTTGATATGAGAGCGGAGAGTGGGAGGAACATAGTCCGGTTGATGTTCTTCATCACTTGAGAGTTCATCCTCTTTGATATAAGAGCGGGAAGTGGGAAGAACAGAGTCTAGATGATGTTCTTCATCACTTGAGAGTGACTCCTCTTTGATATTATAGATGAGGGTGGGAGGAACAGAGTCTGGGTGATGTTCTTCATCACTTGAGAGTATTTCCTCCTTGATTTGGACAGTGAAATGTTCGTCATCTGAGATTGATTCTTCCTTAATTTGGACAATTTTGTAATCCATTGCGTAATTTTTTTTTTTAGTGGACCTGTTTAAAAAAAAAAAAAAAAAAAAAAAAATTGTACTGCAATCAGTTTATCAATTCAGTTAATGGACCTTCCCCTCCCATGCGCTCCATGGAGATTTTTTCTCCAACTCAAAACAAAGTCCTGTCTTTCCGGTTGTCCTCCATCATGACATTCTTGTGTCCTAAATACTCCCACTCCTCCATGGAGAAATAGACAGTGACATCCTGACACCTTATAGGAACCTGACACACACAATGATACAGTCACCATCCAGACACATCCTTGTCTGTTACTGGAGAATGTCCCAGAATTCCTGACACTGGTCACCTCTCCCGTCAGCAGCTCAATGATCTGGAGCTTTCAATCCGAGTTTATGCTGCTAATGGCCAAAACACATGTAGGGTCAATTAAAATGTCAACTGGTTAGCTAAAGTAAAGGCTACCAAAGAAGAAACTCCACCCATCAATCTGAGGCCATCAACAAAGCTTCTTGTTTCATCAGTGAACCACTAAAGGCTACCCTTAGTCCTCCATGCCAGCTAAGGGAGCAGGCAACATCTGGACCTTCTTGACCACAATTTAAATGACCACACAACAAAGATAGACCACCCATCACGCAACTTATTTCTTTTCCTAAATATATATATATATTAACAAAATGATAACGCACGGTCTGAAAAGTTTTATCCCTCTGGTATGTTTTGCTGTATATCAGGGGTATTGAATTAAAACAAATTCAAAGGGGTCTGGTCAGTAAAAATTTGCAAACTGGTTCTATGGACGTCCAAAATTTTATTCCACTGATTGGCTTTATGCAAACTGGTCCTAAGGACGTCGGAAATTTAACCACACTGGTTGGATCTAGGCATACTGGTTCTACAGATGTCGTAAATTTAACCACACGGATTGGATCTAGGCATACTGGTTCTACAGATGTCGTAAATTTAATTCCGCTGGTTGGATCTACGCAAACTGGTTCTACAAAGGTCATAAATTTAATTCGCTGGTTGGATCTATGCAAACTGGCTCTACAGAGGTCATAAATTTAATTCCACAAGTTGGATCTATGCAAACTGGTCCTAAGGACATCAGAAATTTAACACCACTGGTTGGATCTAAGCATACTGGTTCTACAGATGTCGTAAATTTTATTCTGTTGGTTGGATCTATGTAAATTGGTCCTAAGGACATCGGAAATTTAACTCCACTGGTTGGATCTACGCAAACTGGTTCTACAGATGTTGTAAATTTAATTCCGCTGGTTTGATCTATGCAAACTGGTCCTAAGGACATCAGAAATGTAGCTTCACTGGTTGGTTCTAGGCATACTGGTTCTACAGATGTCAGAAATTCAATTCCACTAGTTGGATCTATGCAAACTGGTCCTAAGGATGTCAGAAATTTAACTCCACTGGTTAGATCTAGGCATATTGGTTCTATAGATGTTGGAAATTTAATTCTGCTGGTTGGATCTATGCAAACTGGTTCTATGGACCTCAGAAATTTAAATTCCACTGGTTGGACCTGTGCAAACTGGTCCAACCATATACATTAACAAAATGACAACGTAGGTCCTGAAAAGTTTATCCCTCTGGTACTTTTTGTTGTATACCAGGGTTATTGAACTAAAACACATTCACATGGGTCTGGTCAGTAAAAATTTGCAAACTGGTTCTATGGACGTCCAAAATTTAATTTCACTGGTTGGATCTAGGCCTCCTGGTTCTACAGATGTCTTAAATTTAATTCCGCTGGTTGGATCTATGCAAACTGGTCCTAAGAACGTCGGAAATTTAACTCCACTGGTTGGATCTAGGCACACTGGTTCTACAGATGTTGGAAATTTAACTCCACTGGTTGGATCTAGGCACACTGGTTCTACAGATGTTGGAAATTTAACTCCACTGGTTGGATCGATGCCAACTGGTTCCACAGATGTTGGAAATTTAACTCCACTGGTTGGATCTAGGCATACTAGTTCTATGGACATTTAATCTAAATTCCACTGGTTGGACCTGTGAAACTGGTCCAACCATATACATTAACAAAATTACATCGTATGTCCTGAAAAGTTTATCCCTCTGGTATGTTTTGCTGTATAACAGGGGTATTGAATTAAAACAAATTCAAAGGGGTCCACGCAGTAAAAATGTTCGTCCAGCAGAGGTCTGAATCTCATGTTTGTGCGGAGACTCAGATCCTTCACATTACAGTCCCACCCCCCTTCATATCACAGTTCCCCTCCCTCCATTTTGATCACTGCGCCCCCTTTTACATCGCAGAATCCCAACCTTTATATCGCAGTGCCTCCTTTACATTACAGTGCCCCCCTTCACATCAGTGTAATACATGGGTGTCAAACTGGTGGCCCTCCAGCTGTTGCCAAACTACAAGTCCCATGAGGCATTGCAAGATTGACAGTTACAAGCATGACTCCCAAGGGCAGAGGCATGATGGGACTTGTAGTTTTGCAACAGCTGGAGGGCTGCCAGTTTGACACCCCTGGTGTAATATGTCTCCCCCCCCCCCCTACTTATGTCACCGCCCCCTTCACATCACAGCCTTCCCCCCTTTTTAGATCATAGCGCCTCCTTTTACATAGCAGAATTCTACCTTTTATATTCACAGTGCCCTCCTTTAACAAACATTCCCCCTTTACATTATAGTGTTGCCCTGAGCATCACAGCTTGCCCCTTATCGCAGCCCCGCCCCCTTAACAGCACAGCCCTCCCCCCTCTACATTAGTGTCCTCAGCCCCCCCCCCCCCCCCCCCTTTCCAATCCCACCCAGAGGATGGGAGGTGTGATGGTCTGGAAGGAGAGTGGGAGCTTCCAACTTCTTCGACAAGTTTGCATAGATCCAAAGTGACGGGTTCTCTTGTTGGAAGACCACCACACCCAAGTGATTGACATTCTTCCCAGTATCTCTGTGGGAGCCTTTAGTAACTATCCATTTCTTGAACCATTTTTTCCAGTGTACAAGGGCACATTATTCCGCTGTAAGAAAAGCTAGAAATCCTCCCCGGGACTTTGGCAAAAACCACAATGGGCATACGAATGTAACCTCTTGGATAATCCTGAGGTGGCTCCATGTGAGCACGACTGATCCCCTCATTGGCTGCTGCGATGTGGTCCTCGCTGGTGGAAGGCTCGTTGGGGCGTCTTTGCCTGCCCTCTCCCTGACGTTTCATTTGGAGAGCATCCTCAGTCAATTCTCTATGAATACCTATCACTTATTATCCGATGCGGTGTAAATTACCTGACATATATAGACCCTGAAGAAGGAAACGAGTTCCAAAATGCGTTGGTTTCGTCTGGACATCACTGTAGAAGTTCTTTTTGAGCGGTCAACCCATTTGCCAGTTGATTTACCGCAGACTGTCAGGTTTTATGCACACTATGTTACGTACGTGATATATGAACCATTGTGTCATAAGCTACTGTATCCAATCTTTTGATTCGTTTTATTATTTTAATCTTTTGTAATTCCATAGTTACATAGTTAGTCTGGCTGAAAAAAAGACAAAAGTCCATCCAGTTCAACCATTAACCACTTCCCGTCCGGATGCTGTATATAAATGGCCGGATGGTGGCAGTGCAGGGGTGGGTTGCCGTTCATAAACGGCGCACGCCGTTTTGGACTGTGTGCGCTCCCTGGGAGCACGTGGCACTGCAATCCGGTGTCCGCTGTGTCCGACCTCTGTGTGAGGTCCCGATCATGTGATTACTGATTGGGCAATC